TCGCTGCCGTTATCAAACGTTTCTGGGGATGAAGAACCGTACATCAGACTGGGGGCCTTTTAAGGCAAGGCTCGCGAACCGGGATGCGTATACGAAACCCGTCCCTACAAGACCATCAATATACCACTATTGTCGAGAGTTGCGAGGTCATGAAAATGAAAAGCAACATGCTGGGCAATGCTGGGCAATGCTGGGCAGGCAAAAGAAACCTGTGCATATTGAGCATTGACGACGACGAGGCTCCGTCCAGGATGCGACTCTGCGCTCAAACACCACAAAAAGGCATTGGGGGTTGCTTCAAGGGTGACGAGCACCACACTGGCAGACGGCTAGGTAGCGCGCCCCTGGTCGAGAACCTGGGCACAGTCGGGTGTGTGCGACGACAACGCGGGGGGGTCAAAAAGAAACGGAAGGTTGAAAGTAGCTCCCCTAGACGAGAGTGGGTGATGACAGTCGAGACGCGGAAGTAGTGCCGCTGCGAGAAGGAGGAATTTGGGGGCGGTAATGAGAAACGGTCGCCTAAGAAAGTTTGCAACATGAGCGCTTGAACGGATGGAGTAGCCATGTACCATGTAGCCATGAGCAGATACCGAAACGGGCCTCGACGGTCAAGAAGGGACGTACCTTAACCGTACATACGGTAAGACATGTCGTCCAAAGCCTGGCCTCCTCGCTTCTCTTCCGGTGCCGCGACCAAAAGCCTTCTGGCAGCAGGGGTCTGGCCCCCGGTCCATGTTCTGAGACAAGAGATACGCACTGGAAAGCATCGGTACGCCTGCTGTACAGGGCCATGCTCACTTGTCCAGGTGCTGTACTCGTGCCTCTACAGTGCTGTGTCGGCTTGGAGAAATGCCGTGGGGCCAGGCCTCGGAGGCCACCAAGGGGAGCGACATCGCCTTGATCACCCACAAACGTACCGGGTACGCAGCAGAGGGAACCGACTCGTCCCAATCGTGGACTGCCATGTAGTTGCTTCGATCCTCCCGACGACATGTGCCTGCGACGTTCTCTCACAACATGCTGTCTCCTGATTTGACGTGCTGGCCACCCCGTCCGAAGCAGCAGCAGCAGCCATTTACGAACAACACTCGAGGGGTGCCTTCATGAGATGAGGACAGGACCTGCAGGGCCTGGAATGGCTCGCTCTGTATGTAGGTTTGTCTCGCCTTGGCTCGTCTCGCCCAGAGTCCCATTCGACAAACGCCCCCCTCTTCCTCTGAGGACCCCTCTTGCTTGTTGACAGAAGAGGCTAGCAGCTTTACAGGACACTTGTCGAGCCCAAGGTACCCGTACCTCTTTCGGCGATGGCCAGCCACCGTCAAGCTGGTTGCCCCTGATCCCTGTACACCCTCCCCTCCCCTCCCCCCCAACTAACCTGGTCCTGGCCCTGGTGTCCTCCCCCCCCCGGGCTGCCCTACGGGAACCCCCCCTGCTCTCTGTTTCTCGTCAAGGTTGTCCTGTGCCTCGCCGCGCTGTGTTGTGGATGGCCCCTTTGCGATCCGCGTCCGCGTCCACCGGGAACATGGACCACCCACACAACCCATGTGCCCCCCAGTCGATGTCTCTCTCTCGCACCGCAATGCCCATGGTTCATCACCAGTCTATATCAGTCGTCGAGTCCCCCCCCCTAAGGCCCCTCACCGTGATGTTTCTCGCCCCCATCAACCATCACTACCCTCACAAGTAATAAGCATATCTTGAACCTCAGAAGGGAAGACTGAACAGTACCCAGCACCAGGTTACCCTCGTTACCAACCTTCGCTATACCTCCATCCCATCATCGTCAGCTCAGCTCAAGCTCACTCTTCATCATCGCTCTATAGCACTGCCCATTCGTCCAGTTCAGAACCAGACAAGATAACGAATTGGGTCTCACAAGCACGCCTCTCGAAATCAGCTCGTCTTCTCCAGCAGCTTCAGAAGAGACTCAGAAGAACCGGGCCCTTGGCATGCCTTTCGGATCAGGTGAGCTCTTTGCTCTCTTCCAAGGCCCCACTGTCAAGCGCGGCCTGCGAGACACGCAAGACTAATCCACCCCATCATCATCAGTGACGGCACAAGTAATTTGACACACTGCTGAGCACGACCCAGAGCCAACCAGCTTCGGCTCAAATACCTCTCTGCCGACCCCAGCAGCTCCAGACAGAAAACACAGACGTAGAAACAATGGTCTCCCTACAACACACTTACACCATCATGTCCCGCCAATCCAGCAGCGAGCACGGAGACTTCAACTCGTACCCTGAGCCGCCTCATGGCTTGTACGCCTCCTCATCACAGATGGACATGAGCATTCCTACCAGCTCGTACATGTTTCCCGCGTCCATGGGATTCGAACAGGCCACAACCTACGCCGACGCGACACAGTACGTGTACAACGGCCAGCAGTCACCAGGCGTTTTCGAGGAAGGTGACCTCCAGATGCCACCCTCCAACCACTCCACAGCCTCGGCCTGTTCTTCCAACGCCGGCTCTCCGCTCTCCCACCATGGCCAGATTGGCCTGAATCCCGAGTGGACGCAGCACGGTCTCGGACTCACACCCGGCATCGTCCCCAGCGACTACTACAGTGCCGCCGGGACCGAGTACACGTCCTACACCGCACCAGGTATGGAGGACTTCACTTTCGAGTTCCCGAGCACCAAGCCACACGGCTTTGTGGGTGAGTTGCCACACATCTCTAGGACTCCTGTTCAGCCGCAACCCAATTCTCTGTCTTCTCCTTCTGTTTCCTCTGTTGCTCGCGACCCCGAGAGCGAGGCTGCCCTTGCCGTCGACACCGACATGCCACCACCGCCGACCTCTCCTTTATCATTTGTCTCTCCTAGCTCTGCTTCCTTCTCGTCCCCTGTCGTCCCGGCCTGGCCGGCCTCGCCGCGAACACCACGCGTGCCCCCTTTTTTCTCTCAAAGTAGTGGTCTCTTCACGGCACCTCTCGAGTGTTCTTGTTGGTTTCTCCTCTGTCCTCCACAAAAAGCCTCACTCCTTGCTCCGAGCAGCGCGCGCTGACCACAGTCCAATACTAGACCCATCCCTGATCCACCCAGAGATCAGCCGGCCCATGGCCATGCCTGGTTACGAGGCCGCCTACCACCAAGCCTATCCCGCGTCCCCCTCCGCCTCCTCCTCACCGCAGCCCGCCGCCCGCAACGCCAGCCGGTCTCCCTTTCTCCACGAGGGTTACCAACCGCACTACAGCCCCTACAGTGCGCCGCTGGACGGCCGCAGGCCGAGCATTCACTCGTTCCAGTCTGGGTACTCCGAGGCCGGCAACGCGTACAGCGCGACGAGACCAAGGAAAAGCAGCGCTGCCCGCATCCCGACTGTGGCAAGACGTTCAAGGACCTCAAGGCGCACATGTTGACGCACCAGAACGAGCGGCCCGAGAAGTGCCCCATCCAGACCTGCGACTACCACGTCAAGGGCTTTGCCCGCAAGTACGACAAGAACCGTCACACGCTCACACACTACAAGGGCAACATGGTCTGCGGCTTCTGCCCCGGCTCCGGCACGCCTGCCGAGAAGTCGTTCAACCGTGCCGATGTGTTCAAGCGCCACCTCACGGCCGTGCACGGCGTCGAGCAGACGCCTCCCAACAGCCGCAAGAAGACGTCCGGTGCCAACACGGGCAAGAAGCTGACGGGCTACCCGCCCGACGCCACGGGCAAGTGCTCGACCTGCTCACAGACCTTCTCGAACGCGCAGGACTTCTACGAGCACCTCGACGACTGCGTGCTGCGCATCGTGCAGCAGGAGGACCCGTCCGAGGCCAACAACGCGCGGCTGCTCGCCGAGGTGGAGAACGACAAGAAGGTGCACCAGACGCTCGAGCGCAACAACCTGCCCACGCAGACCATGTTGACGACGATGCAAGACAACAGCGATGACGAGGAGGATGACATGGACATGGACGAGGACGACGAGGACGAGGCGTCCAAGGACGAGCTCAGCCTGTCACGCAAGCGCAAGGCGAGCGGCATGATCAGCGGCGCCCTCAAGTCCCGCGGCATGACGCACTCGCGCGGTGGCGTGCCGGGGCGCGTCGGCAAGAGCAAGGGCCGCAAGAGCAAGCAGCAGCGCCCCAAGTCGTGGGACCTCAACAAGGACCTCGTCAAGATGAAGAAGCGCGTGCTCGGCGTGTTTGACGGTCCTCGCCGCCTCGCCAAGGACGACATGGTGCTGTCGACGGAGCACGAAGTCCGCATCAAGCTCCAGGACGGCAAGTCGTACGTCACGGACCTCGACATGTTCACCGTCATGCGCGCCGAGGGCTTCCACGGGGCCACGGACGCAGAGAAGGGTGCCTGGGTGTCGGACGACCCGACCCCGGAGCAGTACCAGCAGATGCAGGCCCTGCTCAAGCAGGAGCCGGTCGAAGCGTGAGGGGCTGGCGGAGATTTGGGGGCCCATCACCCTCTGGCAGTGCCGAGTGGGCGAGCTCCTAGGAGAAAGAGGGCGATGACGCACAAATGTCTACTACACACTACATACGTCTGCTTGTTCTTTCGAACAGGGTTCTTTCGAAAAAGGATTTTGGCAGGTCCGGGAAAAGGGACACCCACCACCAGGGACCGAGAACGACGGGGAAGGCCAAACTTGGTGGGGGAAAGGTGATTTTTTTTAGAGGCACGCACGGATAGGCGCTTTCGGGGTACGGGGTTCATGGCTTGACTGATGCCTGATGAGGGTTTTCTGTTTCCACTGGGAAGGGTAACGCGGTCATGACCATGGGAAAAGGACGGGGGGGTTGGGGGGTTGGGTGAAAGGGTTTCCCTCCCCCCCCCCTGCCCTCATCTTTTTTTCCTTCTTCTTCCACTTTATTACGGGCTACGAAACGGGAAAGTAGCTGCCGTCGGATTGATACCCTCTGGACCATTTTGTATCTTTTTTTTTTCTTTAATTTGCCAATGCGTTTCTTCAATCTTTGTTTTCAACCAGTATGTTTCTGGTGCCAATGCGTCGGAGTATACTACATAATTGATAATCAAAATGAGACGAAGAACGACGCCCGTCTTTTGCACACTTTCTTTCCATTGCCTGGGTGATTTGATAGTCAACACGACATGATGGGCCAAGGGGGGAACCACAGATGAACGACGAGACCGAGTCTCGATCCGGCAAGGCCCCGGGACCCTCCCCTCGCACCTTGACCTGCTGAACTCTCTAGGGTCCGAAATGGAGAAAGGGCAGGTAGCGCGCGCGCCAACGACGGCGAAGCTGTCGCGGTTCCAGGGTTAGCGGGGAGGAGGAGGAGCACTGGAGAAGACGGAGGGGGCGTTGCTTGAGGAGGGAGGAGGTAGGGGGAGGCTAGGATGAGGAGCAGCAGCAGGAGCAGAGAGGCATGTCTGGCTGAAGGCGGACGTGAGGATCGTCATCTTGCAACGGTGCGGAAATGTGGAGTGTGATCTGCACATTGGTTCATGAACCCGTTTCTTTTATTTTCCTTTCCCTCCATCTCCGTCTCCATCTCTGTGCGTACAGTACATGTACATGGTATGGGCTGGTGGGGGAGTCCCGGCACTGAAGAAATGGCTGACTGGCGATTTGTGGTCCTTGCTTGGCTCGTTGGGTCCAACGTCGTGGCCCTAGGTATCGACCTACCTTGACTGACCTACCTTTGCTGCAGCGTACCTGGACAAGGGGAAACGGAGGAACGGGGCCGAGAGGTGTGGGGTTCGCCGGGATGCTTGGTTTGGCCAAATGTGTCGATTCTGCCTCGTTGTGTCAGAGTCAGCAGTGGAGACCCTCTCTCTCTCTGTCTCTTTCTTCTCTTCGGGCTTTTTCTTCTGACATGCTCATATCATTCTTTAGTCTCTTCGTTTGCCGTCGATGAATGTTTGCTTGGGAATCGATAGGGTGGCGGCATTCGGAGACGAGGGCAGGGGTAGGGGGTAGGGGGTAGGGGTAAAGAGAGAAGGGGAAGGGAGGGGGGTGGGCGAGAGGGTAATGGGGAGGATCGGGGGCCACGGGCGATGGCGGGTTGATGGGAGATTCGACGATGGGCGTCTGCCGAGAAAGTCAGCGAGCAAAACTGCAGGCCGTCGTCCGTCTTTGCCGGCGGCCGAACTTCGCCATTTTGGTGTTTGTCTGTTTGACGATTCCACTCCGTCCAAAAAAGGCCCGTGAGAGGAGTACCATGTACCATGTAGTTCAGTAGACTGGCGAGGAAGTACATGTATGGAGAGATCAGATGACCGACGAGTGAGCTCGCTTCCGTTGGCGTTGTTCCTGTCCTCGCCCCTTTGCAGCCTACTTGTCGTCTGTCTGTTGCCTACCCCTGTCGAGCAGACCACGAAGCAAAAAAGAAAAAAGCGGGCTTGTCGTCCGTCGATCGGCGACGCCGCAGCAGTGTTTGTGTGTGTGTGTGTGTGTGTGGCAGGAGGTACGGTACCTTGGGCACCTACCTAGGTGTTCAAGGGGAGGTACAGTGAGAAAGGGTCATTGCTTTGCTGCACCGGCAGGCACCCACCTCCCTGGCACCTGCATCGATCGGTCCCGGGGGGAGGGTAAGACGGTGCAATGGCAACCCGTCAAGTGCGGCGCAGCAAGCTGTTGGCTTGTCACTGTGAAGGGTAGGGAGGGCGGAAAGGACAAGTCACAGACAGCAGGAGGCAGGCAGGCAGGCAGGCTTGGTCAACCATTCAGTCACTCGGGTCATCGTAGTTTGGTGTGTGTGTGTGTGTGTGCGTGCGGGGGATCCACCCGGGTGCAGGGCCCAGGGGGGTGATTGTCTGGTACGCATCGGCCTATCGGAGCACCTTATCGTCTTGTCAGAAAATCGAGGGGGATGTGCAGCAGGCATCTGGACGGCAGGTGTGGCTTGGCTCCCTGGCTTGGGTTCTCGCTGTGACCGTGTGGGAGCCAAGGAGGACAGGTACAAGTACATGGTGCAAGAAAAAAAGAGGTCGCCAACGGCAGTATCCGGCGGCTCTGTCGTGTCGGTGCAGGTGGCGGGCGGTGGCTGCTGACTGGTGGCTTGCCCACCCAAGTCTGTTCCACTCCCTCTCTCCCCCCTCCCTCTCCCCCCTCCCTCTCTCGGAGCCTTCTTTGGGCGTCCCGGCGTGCTTAGTTGCTGGCATATTGGGGGCGGTGGAGATTATGGCTGCTCGTCGCTATTTCTGGCCCCATGCCAGGGGTGGGCAGTTGAAGGAACGAGGCGCGGGTCACTGCATCGACGTGGCGGTGCACCCTGCATCAGAATCCCCAAGAACCAAAACCAAAACGGTGGTGCATCTGCTGCGGCGAACCCTTTTATTTATTTTTTTTCGAGAATGCATCGCATTTGCACTGCCCGTACGGGCTGTCCGAACCCCCCCACCCCTCTCACCCTTCTCTTCAGGAATCCAACAATAGATTGCAGCACGCAGGCCTCCCGAAAGTGGCGGTCTGGTGATGCCGCTGCCGGACTGCCGGGTCATCCGTGGATGATCCATCCCATCGGGACTTTTTCGTTTCCGCCGTGCATCTCGATTCCCGCCGTTTTGCCGGTCGCCGTTTGACCCGTTGCCGTTAGCATCAGCGTTAGCGTTAGCGCGGGCGTTGCCGTCACCCATCGTCAACCGTCCCGTTTCGCGTTTCGCCCATGTACCTCACAACACACCTAATTTTCTCACACGAGGCCGCCGGCCCTCAATAGCGAGACAATCATCGTCATGGACCTCACCTCTCGCATAGCCCTGACAGGGCCTCCTGCAGAATCGCCCGAAGACTTTCTCTCCTCCGCCTTGGCGACTCTGGACCCCGATGACCAACCGCACATCCACGGCGATTCGGATCATGGTCTGCTCTACACTTCGCCGCATCTGCCCAAGCCTTTCACCCTGTCGCTGGCCGACCCCGCCACGGAGCAGGACCGCAGGCTCTTCAGTCATTATCTCTGGAACTCGTCCCTCCTCTTGGCAGAACTGATCGAGGCAGGCTCCTTGCCTTCACCCCTCCCTCACCCAACCAGTGGCCCCTCACCTCTGGGGCCCCCTTCTTCGGCCTTCAATGTCAAGGGCCTTGCGACCCTCGAGCTCGGCGCCGGTACGGCCTTGCCGAGCCTCCTCGCCGCCCTGCTCTCCGCCCGCCGCGTTGTCGTGACGGACTATCCTGCTGCCTCCGTGCTCGAGACCCTGCGCGCCAACGTGACCCTCGGCGCTGTCCCCGCCGCATCGCCCACGTCCATCGTCGCCCCCGAAGTCACAGTCGAGGGCCACGCCTGGGGCGACCTGACAACACCGCTCGCCGTGTCCTCGGCGCATGCCTTTGATCGTCTCCTCATGGCCGATTGCCTGTGGATGCCCTGGCTGCATGACGCGCTCCTCGCCTCCATCAGCCACTTCCTCGCCGACACGCCCGATGCCCGCGTCTGGATCGTCGCCGGCTTCCACTCGGGGCGTGAAAAGATGCGTCGCTTTTTCGACGCCGACTTCCTGGCCGCCGCCACCCTCGAGGTCGAATCCATCTGGGAGCGGGATGCCGCTGGCGTCGAGCGGGCCTGGGTCGACGAGAGACCCGGCGAGGAGGCCGCGGGCCGGAAGAGGTGGCTTGTCGTCGCCATCCTGCGGCGGACCCGCTTCGGGGTGCCGGGGTCTAGGGCCGAGTCGTGAGCATCTTTATGCTCTTCGTTTGTTCCTTCGTTCGTTCCTACGCTCGTTCCTACGTTCGTCCCTACGTTCGTTCCTTCAGTCGTTCCTTCGGTCGTTCATTCGGTCGTTCATCCGGTCGTCCGTCCCTTCGGTCGTTCGTTCCTTCGGCTGTCTACCCCTCCAACCTGCAGCGCGGCAGCACGTCTCCCTGCCCCTTCTTATATACTGCGCCCCGGCTCAGGAGAACAAGAAAGCAGACAAAAAGGAGCTCGCTCGCCCGCGGTGAAACAGGATCATCTCCCGCCCGGCAGACTTTCTCCTCTCGGCTTCCTCAGCTTCCTTGCGCCGGCGCCGTCGTAGCGTCCCCCTTCTCCATGCGGCTGAGGCCGCTGCCCGTCTTGGCCCGCATCATTGGCACGCTTCCCATCCATAGCGCTTCGGATGACGTTGCTGCCGGTCCTCGGGAACAGCGCATAGTCTGTACTTCCATCCCCTTCCCCCTTTTCCCCCTCATGGGAATTGGCATAGACCATGTTGGTGAGATTTTTTGAAAAGGCCCCTCGACGATGCTCGAGGCCGCTCTGCCCCTGGGGTTTGGTGGGCGGTGGCTTTACTAGCCTGCTAGCTCGTCGTGTAGCCGGGACAGCTGAGTTCAGCTCGCGCGGAAATGAGGAAGTGATCGGCAGGGTCTACGTCGGTAGGCCCAGATCTAGATAGTCTCCTCGCACGAGGGGAAAGGGGAATGTGTTCGCGTAGGTCGACTTCGCGGCAGACCTTTTTTTTCGTCTTGGTCTTGTTTGCGTTGATCATACG